TGGTGCATCTAGAGGTCTTAGAATAAATTTAAACATCATTAATTGTACAAAGCTGCCAGCAACTGCAGTGCATTCCTTTTACCCTCAGACCTCGTTTTTTCTAATTACTTGATACGCTGGACTTTAAAAAAGAGTTGATTGTTATTGGCTGTGCAGTGAGTCTTTCCATGGACAAAGTTATCAAGCTGATGCATGTATAGAAATCTGTTGTGTTCTTGATCTCAGTGTGCAAATATTGACAAAATAGCTGTAAACGGAAGCAGTTTTATTCAAAAGCCTAAATTGGAATGCAAATTAAAAACGTTTGTCGAATTTTACTTAGCTAAAATGAAACATTGTAAATCTGCAATTGTTGCAAAATTTCCTGAAATTATGAAGCTACCTGCATCAGGGAAGGGTATTTGATTGGGACACTATTCATGGCCAAATGTAAGATGAATCCTTGAAGCAACAAACAACATATTTAAGTAAAGACAAAAATGAAAATGGGCTCTGGGTCAAGTAAACATGTGATATACTTTGATATGTCATGTTTCACCGTCTTTTCGATTTCTAATTATATGTATTCTTCACAGAAAAAAAGGGGGGACTGTTCTATATCTCCCATTCTATTGGACTGATTGACAAAATTCAGCTTGCGTTTTTCATGTCTCGAAAGCACGACTTAGGATATGTATTAGATTTATATGTATCATTGTTCTAATTTAAGTATTTTGACACAAAATCGGACTTTTTCTGAAATAACATACCTTTTTTTTTTTTTTTTTTTTTCCCAAATTTTGATTCTACAACTCAAATTATGCCTAGATATTAAATTTTGTAAAATTTGGTGTGAAATTTACGGAGAAATTCAAAAATTTATGTTGGCGGAATTTTTTCAGTTTGAGTTAAGTATAATTCACTTGGCAAACTTCTTAATATATGGCAACCAATTTTCCTTTTCCTTCCATTATGCCGGAGGGGAAAAAAAGGCACTTCGTTCCTACCTTTTTACATTGTGCATGAGCGGAAAAAAAGGTCATACCATTTCTACTTCCAAATAAATTTAGCAAAGTGTCTAAACCACATTTCATGTTTTATCGCTTTTAACAAATATGCCAAATTTTGAAACGCGCCAATATATAAATTCACGTATATCTTCTGAAATTTTGAATAAAAAACTCATTTTTCCCAGGTACGCTTAGATATTTTAAAATTTTATAGATTATAATTCAAAATTTTTTGAAAAATTTATAAAAATTATTTAAACATATAAATTTTAAAAATAAATCATAAAGAATGGGTGAATTTTATTTGGAATGAACCTAAATTTCGAAATGTGAAAGGAAGAATCATATAAGTTAAATAGAAAAAGAGAGATTAATAAATATATACTAAACTCAATTAACATTGAGGAGCTAATTTTTTAAAAACTACTCGTGCGATTTTTACAAAACTTGGTAGTTTGGCTTAATTTGAGTCGTAGAATCGAAATATGGAAAAAGAATTGGTATGTTATTTCAAAAAAAGTCTGATTTTTTGTCAAAATATCCATGTTAGAACAATACTATATATATTTCTAATATATATCCTAAGCTGCACTTTCGAGACATGGAAAACACAATTTGAATTTTGTCACTCGGCCCAGTAGAACGAGAGATACAGACTTGTGCCCCCCTTTTATTTTCGCAGTGTACATCTAGAGATTAGCAGGTGAAGCCCTTGTTAAACCCGCTATTGCTCATGACGGATTTTCCTGTATGATTTGGAGTTCCATGTAATGGAATTGGCAAGGATTACTAATTATCTTTAAAGGCTAAATAATTCCTTAAAGTACATTTGATTCAAATTGAGATTGATCCAGAAAGATAATTAGTTTGTTTTATTTCAGGGGTTCTAAACTTGGGAGAGGGGATTTCATGGTTTTGTAAAGAGAATACAGTCAACCCAGGGGGAGCCCAAGAGCTATGCGCAGTGCAGGGAGAAAGTTATGCCACATACGCATGACATCATGTGGGTGACAGCGTTAGTTCTTGGCGTTTATTTACTTTCGTTGCATCAACAGTTTGATTTGATTTGTGTTGTTAATTTGCTATTATACCTAAGCAGAAGTGGCAAATTGTGCTATAGCGTTGTGTCAGAATTATACACGTTAATACGTTTTTTGGCGGAAAACACTTTTTACAATCAGATAAACTATTTTTTAATAACTAACTATTTTTTAATGAATTTATGTAGTTTTCATACATAACTGTGATGTAATTTTACATTTATTTTTCATTTTACTGCTATTTTACATTTAAATTGAAAAATTTCTCATTTTAAATCATTTTTTATCATAATCTTCATTTTGTGTATGAGACTTACATCGTAGTGAGATATTTAAACTCAGTGTCATGTTTACCAATACTGAGTACCTGAATGATTAGTTAATAAATTCGCGTATCCAACTTCATTCACATGTTTTGGTTACTTTCTTTACATCCCAAACGTAATTCTATGTATTGAAGCAGCGTCTGGGTTAAGCTTTGCGAACTAAGTAAACTGATACATGCCTCACCGTGAGGAAAGAACAATTTCTCGACCACACTATGATGCAAACATCGAATGAGTGAGTGACATATTTCCTTCAGTGTTATTTAACTGATGCATACAGGTATGTGTGATGTAATTTAATTGATATAACTTACACATGCTTGAACCTGAAGGAAAACAAATCTGTGTATAATGCTAGAATACAAATAGCGAAAGAGTAAGTAAGATATTCTGTTCAGTGTTATTTAACTGCTGCATATGTTTTAATTTTGATTCCATATAACTTGTTTTTAATTATAAGAGAAAGAAAAATAATTCAATATTGAACACATATTTCGAGTATAACAAAAGTATTTTAAGAAACAACCTGATAAAAATACATTAGTAATTAAAAATATTTAATTTGTGTACAGGACTGAATTGAAATTAAGATGTGGTGGTGTATTTAATTATGGCAAAGCACACTAGGGCTATCTGCGTAATAGGTGTGATGCCTTCGTGGAGGACTTTCTCAGGGAAACTGGCTCGTATACACGTTACGCATGAGGAAAACCACGAAAAACACCCATGCAGCCAGCCCGTTCGCGGGATTCGAACCGAACTACCAGTGTTCAGCGACTTTACCGCTCGGCCGCTGGTGGGCCGAAACTAAGATGTAAGGCAAGTTTATTATTATTATTATTGTGCGTATATGTGTAAGAAAATGTATTTTAATTGTTCCATTTTTAATGTATGGAAGGAAGAATAGGATGCCAATATCGAAGATTATTTACTATAGCAAATAATCACGTCAGGATAAATGTTATATAGAAATCTTGGGAGTGTAAGGGATTATAAGAGTACTTTTAGATTATACTGAAAATATACGCACTTCTGCTAAAATCTGAAGTGAATCAGTATGAAGTGACTTTTCACTTTAAAAAGAATGTGATAAGTATACTATTTAAAAGTATAATGACGGATATTAAGAAATTTGTAGAATTTTATGGTATTTAAATATGAATTTGTTAAGTCAAATCTTTTATATATATTTTTGCTTGAGATATGTAATTTAAACTGAAAATCACGATCATATATTTCTCATGGTTAAAAAAAGTGCATGAGCAATGAAAATAAATAGAATAATACTTTTTGATTATGTTTTTACGTCTTAGCAGTTATGCCATCATGTGTTCTGTTCAACAAGATTTATTTAGTGCAAACAATACTACGAAAAATATTGAAAAATACCTTGTTTTACAATATTTATTTCCCTTAATTAACTTAAATATCGTTTTTCATTTTCTAATGCTTTCCTTTACGAAAAGAATTTAATGTTTACAATTATTTTCAGCATTCGTACGAATTCTGTGCATAAAATAAACATTTTCTTTAACAAAATACTTAATCGGAAAGTATATACCCGGTATTTCCGGTGTATCTACCACATATAAAATGATCATTTTGCTTTAGTTTACATTTTTTCCATTACCAAAATCATGTAGCAGACGCGTCGGCCGATGCGTCTTGTCTCCCGGGTGACGTCACTACCAGCAACCAATGGCACGCTTTTTCCGTTTCTGGCCTAACCTTAGTATATTAAAGAACCTTGCAGTCAACCTTTTATGTAGCTGTTAAGTATTTAGTTTTAGTTTATAAATATAAAAAACTATTTTTAGTCATGTTTTGATTTTTATCAAAATTTTCATATTTTTGTTGTTTATAAAACACATGAAGAATGATCGAAGCTAAATGTATTTATGTATTTTTTTAGTTTTGAATGAAGTGGGAGAATGATAAAAGGCATGCATGAGGCAAAATAGGTTAAGAACCACTACTTTATCCAATTCTGAATATTCCAAACTAATTCAGAAATAGAGTAATTGACCTATGGTATCTGGTGGGATTCCCTATGTTAACTCCATCTCATGTCATAGCATCTCCATATGATTATGCACCTTTTCCATGACAGTAAGAGTCAGTGCATCCAGCCTTTGTTCAGGAATCATGTAAATGAAGTAAAGCACCACCCTGAGTATTTTATCAAAAAATTTGGACGTTACTGAATGTATGTGCATATTCTTAAGAACAAGTTGAAGAGTATATTCTTGCTGTTCAAGGAATCACAAGCATAAGTTACTTTATAAATGGTACAAGATTGCCATTAATTTGTTTGTGATTCATGTATCTATTTCTTGATGTATTTTGGCATGAAAAAAGAGTATGTACCCTATTGATAAATAAAATATAATCTTTATAGGTTTTAAAATTATTTTGTCATTTTTTAAATGTGCAATATATTGATAACACGTAGTGTTAATTTTGTAGCTTGATAGCTATAAAAAGTTGTTTTAAGTATTAATTTGTATTTACATGAAAATACCTTCTTTCAGCATTATAATTTTCTAACATAACATAATTGCTATAAAAATTCGTTGCTAACATTGAGTAATTTATAGTTAGTAAATATTTTTGAGATGTTATGGTCTTTAATTTTTATTGTATAGGCCTTGGAGACAACGAAAGCTTTGGTGAAAATGCGTCTTCATCTTGAATTAAGTCAAGTTCTTGAAACAGAAGTACAGATGCTTCCTCGTATGTGGCTGTCTGCTGCTTGTCAGGATGCTCTGCAAAATGCATTACGTACTGGAATTCTGGCCGAATGATAATCGTTCTTCCCACTTTTTTGCTGTATGTGTACCTTAATGTGAATACAAATCAGTAAAACTATTTTAAATTACCAATTTTCTATAATTTTTATACTTTTCCTCTGAAATCTATTCAAGAAACTTGAATATTGTGACAGTTTCAAAAAATTACTGTCTAGAATTAAATTTGCATTTTTAAAATCTAGAAGAGGATGAACTTTTAAAATAAAATTACGCTTTATATAGAGCATTGTATAAAGTTTAATCACATAAATGAAATATATTTTCCTATTTATTAAATGAAGAAATGTTATGAATATTCCAAGAATGATTATGCTGATGCAGTTTTTGTTTCAGTTATGCAGGCTTTCTGGGGATTGGTTTGACTTCTGTAGAAATTCACTTTCTATGTATAATAACCTAAATTTAGGAACATAAATATATTTCTTAAACTCATTTGAGTATTTTTTTTTTCTTCTATATTAATGCTAATTTTGAATTCAGAAGTTTTCTGTGCTGTTACCTCAGTAATTATTGGGAAAGGAGAATATTACATGCAACATTCATTTATAATCATAAGAAGACCATTTGTATTGTATATATTTTTGATAAAAAGTTAATCATTGTACATTGTGTTTTTGTAAATGCCTGATTAAAAGAAATGGTAGACTACTAAACAGATAATGTTCTGTTCATACACATTTGTTTTTATTTACATCATTTCTTTGTACATATGGTTCATTTTTTTCATAATCTTAATTCAGTTAAATTTATGATCTTTCAAAAAAACCGACCTCTATATGCGTGGTTTTTATGTATATCATCTAATCATTTATATTTGCCTGTGTAAGACGTCATTGGCTGAAGTTAAGGTATATATCTAAGAAATATTGTATGTAACAATATATTTTAAAAAGTAACTAATTCATTATATTTATCTATAACATATATGTAAAGTAAAAGGATGTCTGTGAAGATAGTTTTATTATTTTGACGATTTGACAATGATCACATGTGAGTATCTAACGTCCATTATGTAGGCAAGATTTTCTTATATGTATTCGTAATATTGTCACAAATAACTTTACTTGAATAATTTAATTTTGGACTAGCTTTAATAAAGAAAGAATGGTTGCAATAATAGGTAAAATTTTAATAACAGTATAAAAAATACTTTTGTAGTTGCATTATTTGTGAATAGCTTTTTCTTCAAATACATACAAGAGCTGACTGAGAAGTTTTAGGGCTGCTTCTGTTTATTTTTTTTAATATTAGACCTGGCAATCCAGAATATTAGTACATTGATGAGTTTGAATCTGCAACTAGATTTTGTGGCCTTTGAATGTCTAGTCACAGCAAGTTAAAATAGCTTGTAAATTTTGTGAAAATGTAGAAGAGCTGTGAATAAATTTTGTGTTGAATTAGAAGAGATTGCTAACAGAACACTTGAAATGCTTCACTTTGCATATGGTGCTGAAATATTCAGCCATGGTTGAGTATTTCAAGGCAGTAATACACAGGTAATTGACAAAGCACATTCTGTCAGATTATCCTCGTAGGTAATATATGTCAACCCAATGGGCCAACAGTTATAACTATTTATAGAAGTAACAGGGTATCTCTGAAGTCTTGATCCAATCTCAAAATGCTGTATTCACTTAAGAGGGAGAAAATATAAATCTGTGTTATAAAATGAAAGATAATTCTGGTTGCATTAAATTTTTACCAAAGTGTTCAATATAACCTTTCTTGGCACATAGCAGATGTGATAAATACATGGTTAAATATGGTAATAATAAACAATGAGCATTTTCAATGCAGCATTTATTGAAGAAAAACATGACCTCATGGTTTGAACAAGTAATAGAATACTTCTGTCATATGTTGTGAAGCTTAGAAAACAGAATCATAGAATTATATTTAGAACTTGTAATGCAGACTTGCATTACTGATCTAGTTTGGTAGAAGTACATGTTCAGCTGATGAGAATGTCAAACTACTGCTGCTCACAAAAACGATTGCTACTCACAAAAAAAATAATGTGAATCGATCCCCAAAATTCTCTACATTTTTTTATAGTTAGAGGATTGTGTGGATCCTATGTGTTTGATGACTGATTTTGCTTTTGTTGTTTCTTAACATGTTTTATTTATCACAGAATCATGCTTTCAAAAAAGATCTTTCATATTATTTTAGATATTTATGACAGTAAAAAAAAATTATGTTATTCAAATTATTTCAGGTGCTTGACTTCACATTTCACATTATGTCAAACTTCTTGCTTTCCTTTTTGATTTTAACTTGCTGAACCCCTAGATAAGTTGCATGGAATACCATTAAAGACCATTGTCCTAAACTTAATAATATGTGATTTCTGATCTTTCTAAGCACTGAAAAGGCAATTATATGAAAAGAGGATCTCTTCAGATGAGGAGGTGAAATACACCATGCCTACAGTGCTGAAGATTTATTTCATGTTTTTGAATTGTTCATAAAACACAGTGAAAAGTGTAACTGGACAAGGAGGTCTTAAATTAAAAAAGAAGGAAAGTAAAAAACTAGAATTCCCATAGATTTTTCTAATTTTGAATAATAGGAACAGTCTGAAAACTTTTCAGTCAGCCTGCATATAGTAAGCAGTTTCATATTAAATGTAGTGCACACTTTTAAGTACTGTATATTACCACATCTGAAAATTTGTTCTGCTGAAGGCTATGCCATTTCTTTTGTTCTCCTTTTGAAATATACTTCTGGATATTTATTTGAGAATAATGACTGTTATTTTCATCGTGTTTGGAAATTCCATAAATCCAATTATCAAATGGTTTTTAAAGAGGAAGATAGATAAATATGCTAATTATTTAAAGAATAATCATTAATTTTATAATTTTTGTTTTGGATTAATTCCTTTATTGTTCTGAGATCATTTTAAGTTAAAAAAAATAGCAGATTAAATTATTAACATTTTTACATAAATATAAATTAAATATTGTATACTATCTCCCAGAGTTTTTTTATTATTATTATTATTATATATTATTAAACTAGGTAGTCTGATAAACAGCTGTATTTCTCTATTAGAGCTTCCATTATGGGGGAAAGTTTTATTCCGAGCGTGCAATGTGCCTTGTTATCTTCATGTGTAATAAATATTCATAATGTGAATTAAATTACCTGCAAGCAGCAGTTTCAGATGTATACTGAGCTCTTTTTTAAATAATCATGTAAATTTCATTGTGCAGGACTGTAAATAAAATAAAATGTTGTATCAAATAAAAAGCAAATTGAAATATTAAGTTCATCACCGTTTATTTAATTTTTAAGTTTTATTAGAATACAGATTAATAACATAAATTTGCCATGTATGCAAATTATTGTTTATTGTATTAAAAGATAAGGAGGAGGGAGCTAGTTCAGCATTTAACTTGATTACTGTGCTCTAAAATTGTATATGTTTAAAAACAAATTTTAAATGTCTGAGGAATGATAATTAAAATTTGATGTATGAATTCTGTTTTACTTTATCATCCTGTGAAAACATTGAATGCATAAATTAAATGGCTCAGTCTCAAAAATAAATATAGATGAAAATTCTATGTGTTGCACTGTTGAATTACGTGGATGAGACTTATTTAAAGATAAGCTGAGCAGAAAGTAAATATACTTCTTAAAAGAAAATAGTGTTATTTAAATATAGGTTTTGGGTGCTTCAGTGATCAGATCTATACATTATTTGAGAAGGTCAAACTTCACTGTTTCCTTGTATGACAACATGCATTTTATATGCACAAACCTCAGTTTGTCCCAAATCACATATCACTTAAAAAGAATATTGAGGTAACAGTAGTAGATTGCCATTGTAAGAGATGGTCCATTAGACAGCAGGAGCGAAGTGGACTAATTCCAGATTCATACATTAGTGACCTTAGATGTGACAAGCATAAGCTGTACACCCTGGGGAAAATGAATGCTGTGTGGGCTCAATTCTGGTGACCGCTTGTACACTCTTAAATATCATACATAGTGAATGGATTAAGTTTGCTTGATGATCAGCCAGTATTTTCACTACAATGCAACTCCAACTGTCCTGAAGGGATGCTGAAGTTAATTTTCACCTTGTGGTATAACATGTAGTTTGTATGTTGCATCCATAGTTCTCCAGGCCTACCAGCAGCCAAGCGTTAAAGTCGCTGAACACTGGTAGTTCGAATCCCGCAAACGGGCTGGATGCATGGGCGTTTTTGTGGTTTTCCCTATGTATAACATGTATACGAGTCAGTTTCCCTTAAAAAGTCCTCCATGAAGGCATCCCTCCCTTAGGCAGATAGCCCTAGTGTGCTTTGCCATAATTAAATAAACCAAAACCATAGTTCTCCAAGGCAGCATGTAGTCATCATCTTCAGTAAGAGATTCTGAGCGCCACCTGAGATAACCACTGACCTGACTTTGTTGTAAAAGTCTTACAGTGTTAATAGCCATCCTGGCAGAAGAGATTATTTCTTCCGTATAAAAATATAAATATAAATGTTACATGGACGTACAAGGCCTGTGTATAAGCATAGATATGTTAATTACAAACTTTGTCTTGTACAAGTTACATATGATAGTTACATAAAATCATGACAGTTATGTGCACATTTAAACAATATCTGAATTCATATTTGCAATACTTTTACTGAGATAATCAAAGTAAACTTGTAATTCATTTACACATTGACTGGATTTTCAATGTCATTTTTAACTGCTTTACAATTTTATTTTTATCAAGTACATACAAAATTGATAGTAATATGCTTACATTACAATAGTTTTTGCTCTTACAATCCTGTTACTATTCTACGGGTGAGCTATTTTTCTAGTGTTGATTTTCAGTTGTTATAGTATTTTGATTTGCTATTAAAATTATGCTGCGAAGATACAATTCTCAAGGGAGGAAGAGACTCTCTTAGTACCTTGCTGAGCATAGCCTCATCACCTCCTCTATCTTAGTTTTCGTCTGCTTGTTGCCAAGGGTATTTTCCGCCCATTGCGGCTAGTATTCACTGCTTGGCATTTTTAAATGCAGTTTACCGGTTTGTAGGCAGTTGAAGAGGTAGTGATCTGCATCACCTATCGCACTACATGTGTACAATTCTGGGGCCCACCAGCGGCCGAGCAGTAACGTCGCTGAACACTGGTAATTCGGTCCGAGGTTCGAATCCCACAAACGGGCTGGCTGCATGGGTGTTTTCGTGGTTTTGCCCATGAGTAACGTATATACGAGCCAGTTCCCTTAAAAAGTCCTCCACAAAGGCATCCCTCCCTTAAGACAGATAGCCCTCGAGTGCTTTGCCATAATCTAATAAACCAAACCAATCATACAATTCTGATGCTCGTTTGCCAAATCTCTTAAGATAATGTGGGAAGGGACCATGGCCAGTGTAGAATTGAGTGTTTGCTTTGCTGTATGTATTAATTGAGCATGTGGAAAGAACTTGAAGGTTCTCCTCCCTGTGCTTTCCTATCAATAGGACTGCAGCACACTTACTGCATTTTTAAGTCTACTGAAGTAATTGGCGTCAGATTTTGTAAGCATGTCCGCCGCTTCGTTGCTAGTAATACCTACATGAGCTGGAACCCAGATCAAGATAGGTCTGTCATCTTGTGAGATAATTTGAAGAATTTTCTGAATATCTTGCACCAAATGACCCCGTCTTATGCCCTCGGATGGACTCCAAACTTGAAGCTGAGTCGCTATATATATTGACCTTTATTTCTAATTGATATTTTGCCAACTTGATGGCTGCTTTTAATGCAAGAAGCTTTGCTTTAAAGATGGTATTTTTGTCTGCCAGTCATCTTTCCCAAATTTTAACCACTTCTCCTTCTTGGAGTACACAGTAGGTGCAGCTTATGCCCTTCTTCGTCTTTGAGCCATCTGTATATATAGCTAATGCTTTCTCATTTGGTGGAGTGTATTGTGTATGATAAATCTGTATCTGCAGGGTGTCCAAGCATGATTGGCTTGCGCTTCTCATGGTCTGTGTGGTAGAATGTCTTTTGCCACAGAGAGACATTATTTTCCAGGCGCAATGTCCTCACTAATAATGATTCTCTCTCCACTAGAAGGTCCAATGGAGGGATACCCGCCAGCACTTGCAATGCTGCAGTTGGGGATGTTCTGTAACCTTTGCATATTATCAAAAGTTGCATTCTTTGGACGGTGAGAAGCTGCCTCCTCATATGGGCGGTAAGCTTCCTTCCCCATATGGCAGCCTCATATAATATGATCTTTTCTGAGATTGTTCTGTACCAGCTTTTGAGCATAGTGATTGGAGTGTCCCAATTAGTGCCCTTTTGTTCTAACCATGGAATTGCTAAGCTGATTTATTTTCTGCTTAAGCTCTTTAATGTGAGGTACCCAGGAAAGCCTATTGTTAATTATAATACCTAGGTATTTAAGGTCAGTGACCTCTTTTATAGAAACTCCATTTAGCTTGATGTTGGGTTCCTATTTCGTGCTCCATGCCTACATATAAACAGTTGTTTAGTTTTATCTGCTGAGATATTTAATTTGTGCTGATTTTCTCAGCTTGCAAAAGTATTGACCACGTTTTGTGTCTTTAACCTAATGCCCGTGCTACCAGAAATGACCAATAAAAAGTTGTCTGCATACGCCTGGATACCTACTCGTTGCTGTTGGTCATAGAGCGCAAAGGCTGTGTTCCCTACAAGATCTCAAAGTGTATGTCCCAAGTAGGAATCCTGGGGACAGCCTCTTTCCAACTTGACTTTGAATACATCATTGTCCGTTGTAACCTGTATCCAACGATCCTGCAAGTAGCTGTGTATAAGTTTCAGGATTTCCTTGGGCATATGATGGTGTCTAGGCATTCGACTACATCTGGCCACCTTAATGAGTCGAATGCCCCTTTGATGTCTGACGTTATAACCAGTGTCTCCAAATTGTCTTTGTTCTGCTTTATAGTTTTTTTAAGGCATTGTCTGTGAACTTTCCTGCACAGAAGCCATATTGTTTTTCGTTTATAGATTTGTTCCTGTACATGTGGAAATTAAGGTGTTGTAGAGTTACTTTTTCTAAAATCTTGCTGTTTGACGGCAGTAAGCTTATAGACCTATGAGATGCCTGGTCTGACGGGTCTTTGCCCTGCTTGTGAAAGAGTGCAATTTCAGCTAGTTTCATGCTTCTAGGTAAGTGTCGAGTCACCAGCAGACTCTGCATAGTTTTAGAAAGAACCCTGGGAATTCTTTGTGAATTTCTTTAACAATGGTATTATCTATGCCATCCAGACCTGGTGCTTTTTTGTCTGCTGAGGCTCTAATGATATTATGAACTTTGTGGTCTGTAAGAATAATATCTCTGTTGCTGCTTTTCCAGCTTTTCCTATTAAACTTCTGCCTTATTTCTGTGTGAGTTACTAAATCAAATTCCATCTTGTCTTTAACAAAGATTGTTTCTAGGATAGTGTTTAGAGCTTCTGTTTTCTTTTTTGCATCTTGTTTTACTTTATCGGTAAGTTGTAGGGGTTGAAAAACCTTATTGGTGGCTGTTTTCTGTAATGTACCATAGGTTGCTTGCACATTACTGCAATGCTTATGCCATGACTCTTGTTTTGCTGCTTTGATTTGTTTTTTTGTGTTGAGCTAGTTCCTTTCTGTAACGTACTAACTTTAATATTTTCTGTTCTTCATCATTCTCCGCTTGCACCTGTCTTCTCAGGGCTCTTATGTTACTTCTTCTTTCCTTGAGGTGGTTGCTCCACCACAATGTAAATGTTTTCCACTTAATACTTTAAAGTTTGTAGGAAGCTCTTGCTGCCTGAGTTAATTTAGTTATGATGAAGTCATATGTAGTATCCAGCTCCTCCCGGGAGTCGCAGTTATCCAGTCGTAAGTATCGTGCCCTCCGTAGGAGGTCTTGAAACGTCTTTTTGTTAGGTATGTGAGTCTACTATTGATCTCATATTGAATTATATGATGGTCACTCAGAGAGGGTATGTCCATTATCTCCCAGTTGTTTATGTACGCAGACACTAATGATGAGACAAATGTGACATCTGGCCAGCCTTTTGCTCTTCCATTGTCGAATGTTGGTGGAGAGTCTTCTTTATTTATTACTGTCAGTCCGTGAGCTATCGCATATTCTAATAATTTCTGTGCAATTTTCTGTTTTTGCTCCCCATAAGGGGCTGGTGGCATTAAAGTCACCAGCTACTATGGTATTCTGTAATGTTCATAGTAAGGCTGGATTTAATTCCTGTAGCAGGCATTCAATTTGCATGCTTGAGGGGAAGTAAACGCAAGTGATTGTTATTTCCATGTTTTGGAGGATTTAATCAAGATTGTTATTGTGTAATCTGTCATATCCAGAAGCAATGGACTTAGAAGGTCGTTATACAAAATGGCTGCCATTCCCGTACTGGAGGCAAAGGATTTACTTTTTGAAGGTTGGCCAAGAAGTTTGCCCTCCCTCATATAAGATTCTTGTAAGAGTGCCAGGTCTGCTGCA